GGTAGGATTGCTGGTTTCTTTTCTCTGTCTCATAAACATGCAAGATTTCAGGTACATCTTGCTACTTCTACTTACACTTAGGTCACACTACATATACATGTACAAGCATATATATACATACCCCTCTGAGTTTTCTTCTATTTTCTTTAGTTCTTGTTCTTGTTTATTTCCTCTTATCTCCATGGGGAAGTGGAACAGAATTTTTCCTCTGTAAGCCATGCGTGTTGTAAGAGGTGACTAAAATGCCGGGAGCAAGGGGCTAGTAACCCCTTCTCCTGTATATATTACTAAATGTAAAAGGAGAAACTTTTGTTTTTCCTTTTGGGCCACCCTGCCTCGGTGGGATACGGCCGGTGTGTTGAAAGAAGAAAGAGATTCATTGTAACTCCTGAATTTATACAGTGGACCCCCGCATAACGATTACCTCCGAATGCAACCAATTATGTAAGTGTATTTATGTAAGTGTGTGTGTATGTGTATGTTTGGGGGTCTGAAATTGACTAATCTACTTCACAATATTTCTTATGGGAACAAATTCGGTCAGTACTGGCACCTGAATATACTTCTGGAGTGAAAAAATATCGTTAACCGGGGGTCCACTGTATTTACAACCACCTAAGAGACTTTATATATAAAACCACTAAATTTGTCATTGCCTTATTAACCCTTTCAGGGTCCAAGGCCAAAATTTGAAGTGGTGCCCCAGTGTCCACGAAATTTTGAAAAAAAACAAAAAAAAATTTTCTTACAGAATTAAAGATAATATTTTTGTGAAGGTAATAAAACAAAAAAAAAATTCTGATCAGTACTTACCGAGATACAGCGGCGGGAAGTTGACCCAAAATGACCGGGTGGCGGCAACATCAGTGACTTCCGCAAAATCGCATTTTTTTATTTTACGTTTTTTGTACTTTTTTCTTTTCTAATTTTTTCCTTTTTCTAATAACATTTGTGGCCTGTGAGACCAATATAATGTATATTGTATAAGTGTACACTCATTGTATTCCACATAATAACTGCACTAATTTGTTTATCATTATATTTTTTTACAAAACTTGTTTACAAGTTTATTGTAAACAAAATGATGAAAATATTAGTGCGGTTATTGTGTTGAATACAACGGTACCATATAGTACCATATGGTACAATGGTGCCATATAGTACCATAGGGTGCAATGGTACCATATGGTACAATTGTACTATATGGTATAATGGTATATGGTACAATGGTACCATATGGTATATGGTACAATGGCACCATTTGGTACAATGGTACCATATGGTGCAGTGGTACCATATGGTGCAATGGTACCATATGGTACATTGTTCCATACAGTACAATGATACCATATGGTTCATTGTACCATATGGTACTATATGGTACTGTTGTATTCAGCACAATAAACACACCAATATTTTCATCATTATTATTATTTCATCATTGTACCATATGGTACAATGTACCATATGGTACAATGGTACCATATGGTTCAAAACCATTGAATTCCTCTTCAGCTCCACTTCCATCAGTCTTAGAACTGTAAGTTGTGAAGAGGAGAGTCCGAATTCGCCCGGAGAGTGAGTGGGGAGTGAGAGCTTCCTTGCCGCCAGGCATGATGAACAAAGCTACTTTGGCGGTGTTCCCACAATTCCATTCGGGTGTCCAGATTTTTTCTATAGTGTTCACACTGACCACCCAGACCCATTCTCTCAGATGTAGGCCTACCAGCCTTCTCATGCTAAATTTGACACTCCTAGAATTTTGGCATAGATCTACGGTTTGGACCCTGAACATAAAGCTGTAGATCTACGGGACGGACCCTGAAAGGGTTAATCTTAAGTTAGTTTTAAGTTTGCCCAAAATGCTCTGCATATTAAGGGGCTTTCTGCATGCGCACTTTAGTGTCATTCACCTCTGTACAAACATTATATCATGCTGAATTAAAGTATCTTATCTTAGTAAAAAGCATCTAATCTCCCTATCATAATAAACCAACACTGCTATATAAAAAAAAAACCAGCTGATCCTTGTTCCATTATATTTCTTCTGAAACTAATTAACTTCTTGTATCTTTACCATCTCTTTCAGTCATTCCACAAACTGACCACATGGAGTCAGTTTGAAACTGCTTAAAATTCCACTTGACGTTGATGAAGATCGTGGAATCAGTTTGAAGTATTAACAGTACTTAAAACTGGACTGTTGTTCACTTAGCTACCTCTCTTTTTTGTACATTTCAAAACTCTTACTTAATAACCCATGTCTGGTTCTTAAGTAGTCTTTAAGCATTAGTATTAGTCTGCCTAAATTACATCATATGTTAGTGGCTTTCTTTTGTGTGTAACAATATTGTATTACATGTAAACTACATTACCTGTATACTGCAGAAAAGAAATTATTTGTATGGTGTATTTTTGCACTGCATAAAGAAATCAAAATTTGTATTTATTTACTTAAATTTTGACAAGTAACTTCATAGTACAGTGGAACCCCAAGTTTTGAACTGCTCCCAACTCGACCAATTATGTAAGTGTATTATTGTAAGTGCTTTTGTAAGTGTATTTTGGGGGTCTGAAACGCACTAATATAATTTTGATTATTCCTTATGGGAATAAATTCGTTCGGTAACAGCACTCGAACAGCATTCTGGAACAAAGAAAGTTTGAAACTCGGGGTTCCATTGTATATAAAATTATTTAATCTGTTTGATCCTCTGAAGAGAACATTGGACATGCAATAAAATAAAAATACTGTGGTACCTTGACTTATGAGTGCCCTAACTTACGAGTTTTCCAAGTTACAAGCCATCGCTTAGTCGATTTTTTGCTTTGAGTTGTGAGCCAAAATCCGAGTTACAAGCAAGCTTCAGATATGCCTCCACTCGCAGGAGAGTGGAAATATCAAAAACCTTGATAATAACCAATGTGTAACATCCTTTCAATTTTGATACCACTGGTAGTGTCATCCTGTAAGAATGTTCTATAACGTATGCCCTAAGTAAAGAGAAACAATTCTGGAACATGTTTAATACACGTTTGGCAGGCCAGCTGGTTGGGTGGCTGGCTGGCTGGCTCATTTGTTTTGGCTGTCTCTATCTCCTTCTGTCTGTCTGTATCTATCTGTCTCTGTCTCTATCTCTGTATCTATCTATGTCTTTGTCTCTATCTCTATCTATGCCTCTATCTGTCACTGTGTGTCTGTCTATCTCTGTATATCTCTCTCTATCTCACAGGTACACATAAATACAGTTATACATAGTGCAAATTACCTAGGAGAACCCAAAAAAATCCAGACGAAGTGCTATACTAAGCTTGTAGATACTGTGTAAGGCATAATAAGCATGACTGGCAAGTAATACGCATTTTCACTTTTTTAGGAATCAGACGTGACCGACTCTGCATTGTGTGTAATACCTGTTGGTTCGTGAGCGGCTCACTTTCTCTCTGAGACAGAGAGACAAAGTAGAGAGACAAGAAGACTGAAACACGGACAGACAGAAAGACAGATAAGCAGAGACAGAGATAAACATAGAGCTAGACAGATACAGACAAATACAGATAGAAACAGATAGACAGACACTGTTTATGTGTAACAGTGAAAAGTAAAGCCAAGGCAGTGCACGATCATCAAATGTCATTCCACGATTGTCACTCCACTGGCAGTGGAGTGACACTCATCTTGCACCGTGCTTCAAGGAGTTTCATATATACAGTGGACCCTCGACCAACGATGGCATCGTATAACGTTAAATCTGACTAGCGATACATTTTAAAGCAAAATTTTTGCCTTGACTTGCGCTAAAAAACTCGACCAACGCGATTCGTTCCGTTCAAGACGCGTCCACGTGTGGCCTGCGCAGCGTTTACAAGCCAACCACCGCGGTCGCACCCAAACATACAATCCGAACATTTCATATTATCACAGCATTTTCAGTGATTGCACCTGCAAAGTAAGTCACCATGGGCCCCAAGAAAGCTTCTAGTGCCATCCCTGTGATAAAAAGGGTGAGAAATAGTATGGAAATTAAGAAAGATTTTGAACGGTTTGGGGGCTAACCCTGAGACGCCTATGCCAGTTGTGGAATCCATTGTGCCTACTTCAAAGATTAAGGAAATGTGTGCAGAGTGGGTTGAACTGCAAACCTTTATGGATGAAAATCGCCCTAACACAGCTATTGCAAGCCGTGCTGGTGACTATTACAATGACAATGTTGTGGCCCATTTTAGACAAATCGTAAAGGAACGGGAGGTACGGAGCTCTATGGACAGATATGTTGTGCGACAGAGGTCCAGTGACTCTCAAGCTGGTCCTAGTGGCATTAAAAGAAGGGAAGTAACCCCGGAAAAGGACTAATGGAAGGGGATTCCCCTTCTAAACACTAACACCATCCATACTCTCCCCTCCTCCCATCCCATGAATCATCACCAGATCTTCAATAAAGGTAAGTGTCATGTAACTGTACATGTCTCCTTCAGTTTGTGTGTATTAAAATTAATATTTCATGTGGTAAAAATTTTTTTTTTTCAATACTTTGGGGTGTCAGGAATGGATTAATTTGATTTCCATTATTTCTTATGGGGAAAATTAACTCGACTAACGATGAGCTCTCAGGAACGGATTAATATTGTTGGTCGAGGGTCCACTGTATACTCCAGAATTTCTAAAACATTGCTGGGACCTGGCAAAAAAAAAGTAAAAATCATTTCTTATTTATAAATACATTTTTCTTATTTAAAAACCCGTAACTAAAAAAATTGGGGTGGGTTTTTGGGGGCTGGAATGGATTAATGGCATTTCAATTAATTACAATGAGGAAAATTCACTTGATATACGAGGAAATTAAGTTAAGAGCTCGGTCACAGAACGAATTAAACTCGTAAGTCAAGGTACCACTGTATGTATAAAAAATTGAAAATACATGAATTTGTAATAAAGGCATCAAGTAAATTTTTTCCTCTTCCAGTATATAGTGAATTTCATTAATTTTTTTTATTTTCAGGCAACTTTGTGTGATGCTGAATGCAGAAGACATCTATCAGACACTGGCTGAGCTATTACAGAAGGAAGAGAACCTCACGTTCGCATCGGAAATGGTGCAGACATTGTCTTCAATTCTTCTCACCTCGAAGGAACTCTTCTCGCTCAGATTACAACTGAAGGAACTCTCATCTCCGGTAATGCAGGAATTGTTGATAGTTAATTTTTTTCAACATACCGGTCATCTCCCACCGAGGAAGGGTGACTCATAAAATAAGAAAACTGTAAAGTTTATCTTTTTTTTTTTTCAACAAACCGGCTATATCCTACTGTGGCAGGGTGACCTAAAAAGAAAAGTGAAAGCCACTCCTTTTAACCCTTTTAGTGTTGGTCCCATAGTACTACGGCTTGAGAGCTAGTGTCGGTCCCGTAGTACTACGCCAAAACTCTAGCACCTTCAAATCTATCTGGAGAAAGCTGGTAGGCCTACATGCGAGAGAATGGGTCTGCGTTGTCAGTGTGCATAGTATGGAAAAAATCAAGGCACCTGCATTGCATTGTGAAAATGCCATTTCAGTATGTCTTATTTGCCATGCCTTGCGATAAGAAACTCCTCACTCCCCAGCATATTGGAACTCTTCTGTTCCCAAGCGATAGTTCAAACACAGATGAAAGTGTCAGGGAAGGTGAATTTTATGGTTTTGAGGAGTTTGTGAGTGTGTAAAGGTAGAAAGTTGAAAGTGAACATAAATAAGAGTAAGGTGATGAAGGTATCAAATGATTTATATAAAGAAAAACTGGATGTCACATTGGAGAGAAGGAGTATGGAAGAAGTGAATGTTTTCAGATATTTGGGAGTTGATGTGTCAGCAGGTGGGTTTTATGAAAGATGAGGTTAACCATAGAATTGATGAGGGAAAAAAGATGAGTGGTGCATTGAGGTATAGATGGAGGCAAAAAACATTATCAATGGAAGCAAAGAAGGGAATGTATGAAAGTATAGTGGTACCAACACTCTTATATGGGTGTGAAGCTTGGGTTGTAAATGCTGCAGTGAGGAGGCGGTTGGAGGCTGTGGAGATGTCCTTTCTAAGGGCAATGTGTGGTGTAAATATTATGCAGAGAATTCAGAGTGGAAATTAGGAGAAGGTGTGGAGTTACTAAAAGTATTAGTCAGAGGGCTGATGAGGGGTTGTTGAGGTGGTTTGGTCATTTAGAGAGAATGGATCAATGTAGAATGACCTCAAAAGCGTATAAATCTGTAGGGAAAGGAAGGCGGGGTAGGGGTCGTCCTCAAAAAAGTTGGAGGGAGGGGGTAAAGGAGGTTTTCTAGGTGAGAGGCTTGGACTTCCAGCAAGTGTGCGTGAGCATGTTAGATAGGAGTGAATGGAGATGAATGGCTTTTGGGACCTGACGAGCTGTTGGAGTGTGAGCAGGGTAATATTTTATAAAGGGATTCAGGGAAGCTGGTTAGCAGAACTTGAGTCCTGGAAATGGGAAGTAAAGTTCCTGCACTTTAAAGGAGGGGTTTGGGATATTGGCAGTTTGGAGGGATATGTTATATACATATCTTTATATATGCTTCAAAACTGTTGTATCTGGGTGCCTCTGCAAAAACAGTGACTATATATGAGTGAGGTGAAAATGTTGAATGATGAAAGTATTTTCATTTTGGGTCACCATGCCTCGGTGGGAGACGGCTGACTTATTGAAAAAAAAAAGTGATAATAATAACAAGAGCTTCAGAACGCCACCAACTCGGTACACTGTTTACCTCAGTGTGGGAGTATTTCTCTCATGCTTTGCTTACATTTTTTACAGACATTTTGCCAAATTTCCTTTTTCAAAGCATGTGTCCTAAGAAAGTAAGTGTAAAGGACAGTGCTGAGAAGAAAAAGATGATGATTTCCATGGAATTAAAGCATGAAATCATTGATAAACAATCAAGGTATGCAGGTTTTGGGTTGAGAGGGGAAGTGGGGGGGACCTGGCTCGTAACTCAGATGTTGGCTCTGTAACTCAGAGCAAAAAATCGACCGATCAACGGCTCATATCTCAAAAAACTTGTACGTTGGAACACTCATAAGTCAAGGTTCCACTGTATTTGTATAAATAAGTCACCATGGGGCCTATGACAATTAGTGATAACAGCCAACGAAACGGAAAATTGATTGGGAAGAACTTGTTTGATGCTCGAATGGAGCAGCACTCAAACAGCCTTCTGGAATGAATTAAGGTCGCATACCGAGGTTCCACTACATAATGGTAGTGGGTTTGTATCAACCATCTTCAATATTGTTTTTAATGTCACCTTGATTTATAGCATTGATTTATAACATTTCTGGTATATTTTTAAATGTTTATACAGCAGTGTTCTGTATAGTATGGCCCTACTTTGACATTTCACCTTACAGCATTCCGCTAATATGGCGATTTCAAATTATGGCCAAAACTTGCTATACAGCTGTCTTTCTAATACGGCGTGCCCCACCTGGTTTGTTTACATTCTCCATGAGTACATATCTCTGTTATGTCTGCAAACTTTCCAGAATTTCAAGTATTTGAAAGTTATTGCATATTCTATATGTACTCTGATCATAATATTTGTGTTCCTGTACCTAAATATACTTATACACTGTGCTGGTGTGCAGGTACACATTAAAATTATTATTTGCCTGAAATGCTCTGCATAACAAGCAGCTTTCTGTGTAGTAATATGTATTGATGTCAGGTAGGCCTGTACCTTGTACATGTGCTTGTAGTTAATAAAGATATATGTATTATTATTAAGTGTCCCTCTAGTCTTAACACCATAGTAATACTAATAGTACATAATAATAGTCACTCTTGGGCACAGTAAATGTCTTATTTTATGTTAATATAGACATTTTTCATTAATCCATCTATGATATTTTCTTCAAAATTATGTAAGAAACACATTACATAGCATATAAACATGCTATGTTTATATGCTATGGAGGTGTGCTAACCGGGTGGAGGGAAAACATTACGTTTTCTCTGGTTCAGCACCAGAAAAAACGTGTATGAATCTGCGTTTGGCCCAGTCACTCCCCGTAACACTCTGCTTTTGTTTACAATTCTCAGCATGAATTATTCATTACTTCTTGCTTCATTTATGATGGCACTTAAAGGTAGTTGTTAGAAACGATTAAACTCAGTGAGCATGGTATGTCGATGGTAATAATATGGCTCTGGGCCGCATTAAATATTGTATAGCTGTGTAGGTAGGTGCAGCTATGTAGCCAGGCAGGCTATATAGCTACATCTACCAGTTACCTACACCTGACTTTCTACAAATAAATACTACTCACCTCTCATCCTACATTAAGACTACACATATTTTAAGGTAAATAATGAGTGTACTGTATGTGTATTTTATCTCTCTGGGATGCTTTAAATCTCGTATATTAAGTTTGGGACAGAGGCAGGGCTACCTACACCTGACTTCGTACAAATAAGTATTACTCACCTCTCGCCCTACATTTAGACAAGAAATATTTTAAAGTAAGTAATGAATGTACTGTGTATGTATTTTACCTTTTATTTTATTTTTTAATGCATATTTTTGCATTTATAAGTGGAAAAATGGCATTCCGCTTGAAGGCAATTTTCGCTCTCAGGCGGTAGCCTGGAACCTAACCTGCCATATAAGTGGGGCTCTACTGTATATTGTAATAAACAGGAAATCAGCTTTTATATACATTATTTAGGTATACATACTGGTCAGAGAGCCCGTCGTAAGTTTGAGTCATTGGTAAATTAGGACTTTGCTAAGTGAGGAGAAGCTGTAATACTGTCATCACTGTGAGGCGATGCATGGCAGTAAAGAATAAGTAACACATTCTAACACTAGAGAAAAATGTAGGTGTTGGAGAGAGCAAGGCTATGAAACTTAAGTTCCCAAACTTTGTTATGGGGTTTTGAGATTAACGTGCAGATGCAAAAAGCAATATCTATACATTTTCACAAACAGGTCAAATTACTATTTTTATTATTAACACATCGGCAGTTTCCCACCAAGGCAGGGTGGCCCGAAAAAGAAAAATTTTAATCATCATTCACTCCATCACTGTCTTGCCAGAGGCGTGCTCATACCACAGTAATAAAACTGCAACATTAACACCCCTCCTTCAAGTCAGAGTCAAAGTCGAAATTTATTTCTTTGCAAAGGCCACAATGAGTGATTACATTTTAAGAATTAAGCACAAAGAAAGCCACTATCGTGCTTTAGCATTTCAGGCAGACTGATGCTAATACTTAAGGACTACTTAAGTCAAGACAGGTTAAGAGTGATTAATTTTTGTATATTCATTATTTTATCTTATTTCTGCTGTGAGGTAGTCAAAAGTTTTAAAGTTAATATTATTATTTTATTTTTTTTTTTTATTATCACACTGGCCGATTCCCACCAAGGCAGGGTGGCCCAAAAAAGAAAAACTTTCACCATCATTCACTCCATCACTGTCTTGCCAGAAGGGTGCTTTACACTACAGTTTTTAAACTGCAACATTAACACCCCTCCTTCAGAGTGCAGGCACTGTACTTCCCATCTCCAGGACTCAAGTCCGGTCTGCCGGTTTCCCTGAACCCCTTCATAAATGTTACTTTGCTCACACTCCAACAGCACGTCAAGTATTAAAAACCATTTGTCTCCATTCACTCCTATCAAACACGCTCACGCATGCCTGCTGGAAGTCCAAGCCCCTCGCACACAAAACCTCCTTTACCCCCTCCCTCCAACCTTTCCTAGGCCGACCCTACCCCGCCTTCCTTCCACTACAGACTGATACACTCTTGAAGTTATTCTGTTTCGCTCCATTCTCTCCACATGTCCGAACCACCTCAACAACCCTTCCTCAGCCCTCTGGACAACAGTTTTGGTAATCCCGCACCTCCTCCTAACTTCCAAACTACAAATTCTCTGCATTATATTCACACCACACATTGCTCTCAGACATGACATCTCCACTGCCTCCAGCCTTCTCCTCGCTGCAACATTCATCACCCATGCTTCACACCCATATAAGAGCGTTGGTAAAACTATACTCTCATACATTCCCCTCTTTGCCTCCAAGGACAAAGTTCTTTGTCTCCACAGACTCCTAAGTGCACCACTCACCCTTTTTCCCCTCATCAATTCTATGATTCACCTCATCTTTCATAGACCCATCCGCTGACACGTCCACTCCCAAATATCTGAATACATTCACCTCCTCCATACTCTCTCCCTCCAATCTGATATCCAATCTTTCATCACCTAATCTTTTTGTTATCCTCATAACCTTACTCTTTCCTGTATTCACTTTCAATTTTCTTCTTTTGCACACCCTACCAAATTCATCCACCAATCTCTGCAACTTCTCTTCAGAATCTCCCAAGAGCACAGTGTCATCAGCAAAGAGCAACTGTGACAACTCCCACTTTATGTGTGATTCTTTATCTTTTAACTCCACGCCTCTTGCCAAGACCCTCGCATTTACTTCTCTTACAACCCCATCTATAAATATATTAAACAACCACGGTGACATCACACATCCTTGTCTAAGGCCTACTTTTACTGGGAAATAATTTCCCTCTTTCCTACATACTCTAACTTGAGCCTCACTATCCTCGTAAAAACTCTTCACTGCTTTCAGTAACCTACCTCCTACACCATACACCTGCAACATCTGCCACATTGCCCCCCTATCCACCCTGTCATACGCCTTTTCCAAATCCATAAATGCCACAAAGACCTCTTTAGCCTTATCTAAATACTGTTCACTTATATGTTTCACTGTAAACACCTGGTCCACACACCCTCTACCTTTCCTAAAGCCTCCTTGTTCATCTGCTATCCTATTCTCCGTCTTACTCTTAATTCTTTCAATAATAACTCTACCATACGCTTTACCAGGTATACTTAGCAGACTTATCCCCCTATAATTTTTTGCACTCTCTTTTATCCCCTTTGCCTTTATACAAAGGAACTATGCATGCTCTCTGCCAATCCCTAGGTACCTTACCCTCTTCCATACATTTATTAAATAATTGCACCAACCACTCCAAAACTATATCCCCACCTGCTTTTAACATTTCTATCTTTATCCCATCAATCCCGGCTGCCTTACCCCCTTTCATTTTACCTACTGCCTCATGAACTTCCCCCACACTCACAACTGGCTCTTCCTCACTCCTACAAGATGATGTTCCTCCTTGCCCTATACACGAAATCACAGCTTCCCTATCTTCATCAACATTTAACAATTCCTCAAAATATTCCCTCCATCTTCCCAATACCTCTAACTCTCCATTTAATAACTCTCCTCTCCTATTTTTAACTGACAAATCCATTTGTTCTCTAGGCTTTCTTAACTTGTTAATCTCACTCCAAAACTTTTTCTTATTTTCAACAAAATTTGTTGATAACATCTCACCCACTCTCTCATTTGCTCTCTTTTTACATTGCTTCACCACTCTCTTAACCTCTCTCTTTTTCTCCATATACTCTTCCCTCCTTGCATCACTTCTACTTTGTAAAAACTTCTCATATGCTAACTTTTTCTCCCTTACTACTCTCTTCACATCATCATTCCACCAATCGCTCCTCTTCCCTCCCGCACCCACTTTCCTGTAACCACAAACTTCTGCTGAACACTCTAACACTACATTTTTAAACCTACCCCATACCTCTTCGACCCCATTGCCTATGCTCTCATTAGCCCATCTATCCTCCAATAGCTGTTTATATCTTACCCTAACTGCCTCCTCTTTTAGTTTATAAACCTTCACCTCTCTCTTCCCTGATGCTTCTATTCTCCTTGTATCCCATCTACCTTTTACTCTCAGTGTAGCTACAACTAGAAAGTGATCTGATATATCTGTGGCCCCTCTATAAACATGCACATCCTGAAGTCTACTCAACAGTCTTTTATCTACCAATACATCTCTAATTGATTAGAGATGAAACATTAAGAAACTGATTCATTTATTAACTTGTATTTTGGCCATGGTGGAGCTTGTTTTGTGCCATGAAACACCTGTTTCCACCACCCAAGTATTATTTTAGCCAGAATTTACCATTCAGTTTATATTACCATCCTTTCATACAATGAGAGGATTCCGGGAACCAGTTAGCTGGACTTGAGTCTAGGAGGTGGAAGGGACAATGCCTGTACTCTGGAGGGAAGGGAATGTGGCAGTCGCAGGGTGGATAAGTAAATAAGTTTATTTAGGTGCAGGTACACATAAATACAGTTGCAAAAATTATCATACATAGTAATGTGGAAGAAATCACAATAAAATGCGGGACTGCATGTATAAAAAAAATCCAAGTGAAAATAGGAGATAAAACCTGGGTGCTTTCATATGCTTACACACACAAATGTGCTCAGGTTTTATTTCCTATTTTCACTGTGGTATTTTTTCACATAGTAACATGTGAGTTGATTACTTAGGATAACCCGCAAAAAAGTTGGAGGGTGATTGAGTGAATGATGGTGAATGTGCTTTCTTTTTTGGGACACCCTGCACAACTTCTAGGCACATCTTCTAACTTGTTTTATTGTTTGAATTTATATTCGATTTTTCCATCAGTATTTAACCCGTAAATGGTCCAAGCAGATCTACGTTCACATGTGTAGCGCTACAAAAGTAGATCTACATTTTTTTTATATATTTTCAAATATAACAAAAAAAAAAGTAGATCAAAGTTTTTTTACACATTTTCAAATGTAAAAAACAAAAAGAAGATCTACTTTTTTTACATACTTTCAAATGTTGAAAAAACGTATATATACGTTTGGACCGTTTACGGGTTAAACATTATGAAATATTTAAACTTTTAGTTTTATTTTGAATTAATATATATAACTTCTGTTGTTTCAGGAAAGCTGCGAGTTGTTTGTTAACTTGTATCGTTCCTGGAGCCATAACTCTGTGGCAACCCTCACCATCTGCCTCCTCACACAGAATTACTCACACGCTGCAGCGCTTGTTCATGCCTTGTATCCTTTTTCATGCTGATTTCACTTTTTTCATGTATTGATAAATGAGTGTAAGATTGTCTCTTGTGTATACCAGTTGCCATCATATCAGTATTCAGTAGCCACAGTGATCAGCCAAACAACACGTCTCTCTTTTATATACTTTTTTTATTAAATGTACTAGCTATCTCCTGGCTAGGCATAGTGACCTGAAAAAGAAGAAACAAAGGTTTTCTTTTTACATTTAATAATTTATACTGGAGAAGAGTTTACTAGCACCTTGTTCTCAGCATTTAGTAATTTACACTGGAAAAGAGTTTACTAGCACCTTGTTCTCAGCATTTAGTAATTTATACTGGAGAAGAGTTTACTAGCACCTTGTTCTCAGCATTTAGTAATTTATACTGGAGAAGAGTTTACTAGCACCTTGTTCTCAGCATTTAGTAATTTATACTGGAGAAGAGTTTACTGGCACCTTGCTCTCAGCATTTAGTAATTTATACTGTAGAAGAGTTTACTAGTACCTTGTTCTCAGCATTTTTACAACACACATGGCTTATGAAAGAAGGATTACAATATTGCATAACAGTAAATCTTCTATTTTTTGGTGTGAATAAAAATTCATTATGCCAATAAAAAATCAAAATGGAATTCATTTATGAAGCCTGGAAAAGGAACTAGTAAACAGAGGAAATGTTATTTTAGTTCCAGAAATGCCTGCATTGTTTATTCTGGACCCTATTTTGATTAGAATACAGTGGACCCTCGCCTAACGAACGCATCGCATAATATTAAATCCGCCTAACGAAGGATTTGAGTGTAAAAATTTTGGCCCGCTTAAGATAAAAATCTCGCCCAACGTGATTCCTCCCAAACCTGTCCATCCAGCCTGAGCACCTCAGCTGCCTTGCCGTCATTGTTTACAAGCCAGGGTGGCTGGTTGCATGCATACATTTGATACATTTTGTATTCCATTGTTTATAGTGCTCGTAACTGCTAAATAAGCCACCATGGGCCCAAAGAAAGCTTCTAGTGCCAACCCTGTGGTAAAAAGGGTGAGAAATACTATTGTACCACAGTCAGCTGCTGCTGCACTACCATCAGCTGTTGCTGGACCAGTCAGCTGTTGCTGGACCAGTCAGCTGTTGCTGCACCATGGTCAGCTGTTGCTGGACCAGTCAGCTGTTGCTGCACCATGGTCAGCTGTTGCTGGACCAGTCAGCTGTTGCTGCACCATGGTCAGCTGTTGCTGCACCATGGTCAGCTGTTGCTGCACCATGGTCAGCTGTTGCTGCACCACGGTCAGCTGTTGCTGCACCACGGTCAACTGTTGCTGCACCACGGTCAGCTGTTGCTGCACCACGGTCAGCTGTTGCTGCACCACGGTCAGCTGTTGCTGCACCACGGTCAGCTGTTGCTGCACCACGGTCAGCTGCTGCTGCACCGCAGTCAGCTGTTGCTCCATCACAGTCAGCTGTTGCTGCACCACCATCAGCTGTATTACTCAAAGATGTGGAGTGTGTGTTGTTGGTGTGGCTTAACGTGAAGCAATTACCGAGAAACGATTAACCCCAGAGGGTTAGTCACCCAGGATAACCCAAGAAAGCCAGTGCATCATCGAGGACTGTAACTTATTTCCATTGGGGTCCTTAGTCTTGTCCCCCAGGATGCGACCCACAACAGTCAACTAGCACCCAGGTGAACAGGAAAAAATGCCTGGAACTAGTGCTCATATTGGTGAATTTAAGGCCAGCAACGGTTGGTTTGAGAAATTTAAGAATTGTAGTGGCATACACAGTGTGATAAGGCATGGCGAAGCTGAAAAATTCCAACCCCAACAAGTGTTCAATTGTGAAGAAACAGGCCTGTTCTGGAAGAAAATGTCAAACAGGACCTACATTACTCAGGAGGAAAAGGCACTCCCAGGACACAAGCCTGTGAAAGACAGGCTAACTCTCATGTTTTGTTGTAATGCTAGTGGGGATTGCAAAGTGAAGCCTTTACTGGTGTATCACTCTAGGATATTCAGAGTGTTCAAGAAAAAGTGTCTCATCACTCATCAATGCTCTTCAATAAAGGTAAGTGTTATTTTAACATTTATTTATGTAGTTATTGTGCATGTCTCATTGTTTTCTTTGTAGGGAAATGTATATTTCATGAAAAAAACAAAAATAAATTTAATACTTTTGGCTGTCTGGAACTGATTAATTGGATTTCCATTATTTCTTATGGGGAAAATTAACTTGGCTAACGATAATTTCAGCTAACAATGAGCTCTCAGGAACAGATTAATATTGTTAGGCGAGGGTCCACTGTATTTTGAACTTTGTATGAAACTGGCCAAATTACCAATTTCTGATGACTTTATTAGGTAATTGAAATAGTTGATTGGGCAGTTTCCTGTGTTCAGTTGATAAAATAAAACTAATACTAGCACAATAGCTAAGATTTTGGTTGACTGGAATAATGTAATTGGCCTAAAATGAGAGTCAAAGTGGGCAAAATCACCAATGCATAAATATAGCTGAAGGCGCAAAATTTGTGAGAGCTTAATTTTCCATCAAATTTCGTACTTTTTGTTTCATTACCATCAGAAAAAGATTCTCTTGCAATTTCATAAGTGTTAGGAGTGAATGGAGACGAATGGTACTTGGGACCTGACGATCTGTTGGAGTGTGAGCAGGGTAATATTTAGTGAAGGGATTCAGGGAAACCGGTTATTTTCATATAGTCGGACTTGAGTCCTGGAAATGGGAAGTACAATGCCTGCACTTTAAAGGAGGGGTTTGGGATATTGGCAGTTTGGAGGGATATGTTGTGTATCTTTATATGTGTATGCTTCTAAACTGTTGTATTCTGAGCACATCTGCAAAAACAGTGATAATGTGCGAGTGTGGTGAAAGTGTTGAATGATGATGAAAGTATTTTCTTTTTGGGGATTTTCTTTCTTTTTTGGGTCACCCTGCCTCAGTGGGAGACTGCCGACTTGTTGAAAAAAAAAAAAAAATTGTTGAAATTTTACCCAGCCTACTGTCCACTCCAACTGCATCAAGTCCAAATGTTTATGCTAATCATGTTCCTTACAAAGATGGCAAATAGATCTCTAGCCTATCTGTTGTATAGGAATCATGGTTAAATTTTTCCTGGGTGAGACAATTTCTGTATACTCATATGCTGTTGAGCATCATAGTGTTTTATATAAATCCATAGGGAAGTGGAGAAGAATCCTTTCTCTGTAAACCATGCATGTCATAAGAGGTGACAAAAATGCCAGGAGCAAGGGGCTAGTAACCCCTTCTCCTGTATACTAAATATAAAAAAAAATATTTTTTTTTTTTCTTTTCAGGTCATCTTGCCTCAGTGGGAGATAGCTGGTGCATTAAAAAAAAATTTTTAACACACTGGCCATCTTCCACGATTTTTCATGGAGGCAGGGTGACCAGTAAAAGAAGCACTTTCACCATCACTCACTCCATCACTGCCTTGCCACAGGCACACTGATACTGCAATTCAGATGCTCCTCCAAACTGCAGTTCCTTAATATTGTGGGGAATTCTACCAATTTTTCCTTTTGCTTTATATAATTCTTTAACTATTATCTTCTTCTTCTTCCTTTCAACACACCAGCCGTATCCCCCCAAGGCGGGGTGGCCCAAAAGGAAAAACGAAAGTTTCTCCCTTTACATTTAGTAATATATACAGGAGGAAGGGTTACTAGCCCCTTGCTCCCGGCATTTTAGTCGCCTCTTACAACACGCATGGCTTACGGAGGAAGAATTCTGTTCCACTTCCCCATGGAGATAAGAGGAAATAAACAAGAACAAGAACTAGAAAGGAAATAGAAGAAAACCCAGAGGGGTGTGTATATATATGCTTGTACATGTATGTGTAGTGTGACCTAAGTGTAAGTAGAAGTAGCAAGACATACCTGAAATCTTGCATATTTATGAGACAGAAAAAAGACACCAGCAATCCTACCATCATGTAAAACAATTACAGGCTTTCGTTTTACACTCACATGGTAGGACGGTAGTACCTCCCTGGGTGGTTGCTGTCTACCAACCTACTACCACAGGACAGTAGTACCTTCCTGGGTGGTTGCTGTCTACCAACCTACTACCACAGGACGGTAGTACCTCCCTGGGCGGTTGCTGTCTACCAACATACTACCACAGGATGGTAGTACCACCCTGGGTGGTTGCTGTCTACCAACCTACTACCACAGGATGGTAGTACCTCCCTGGGCAGTTGCTGTCTACCAACATACTACCACAGGATGGTAGTACCACCCTGGGTGGTTGCTGTCTACCAACATACTACCACAGGACGGTAGTACCTCCCTGGGTGGTTGCTGTCTACCAACATACTACCACAGGATGGTAGTACCACCCTGGGTGGTTGCTGTCTACCAACATACTACCACAGGATGGTAGTACCACCCTGGGTGGTTGCTGTCTACCATCATACTACCACAGGATGGTAGTACCTCCCTGGGCGGTTGTTGTCTACCAACCTACTACCACAGGACGGTAGTACCTCCCTGGGTGGTTGCTGTCTACCAACCTACTACCACAGGACGGTAGTACCTCCCTTGGTGGTTGCTGTCTACCAACATACTACCACAGGACGGTAGTACCTCCCTGGGTGGTTGATGTCTACCAATATACTACCACAGGACGGTAGTACCTCCCTGGGTGGTTGCTGTCTACCAACCTACTACCACAGGACGGTAGTACCTCCCTGGGTGGTTGCTGTCTACCAACCTACTTCCACAGGACGGTAGTACCTCCCTAGGTGGTTGCTGTCTACCAACATACTACCACAGGACGGTAGTACCTCCCTGGGTGGTTGCTGTCTACCAACCTACTACCACAGGACGGTAGTACCTCCCTGGGTGGTTGCTGTCTACCAACATACTACCACAGGACGGTAGTACCACCCTGGGTGGTTGCTGTCTACCAACATACTACCACAGGACGGTAGTACCTCCCTGGGCGGTTGTTGTCTACCAACCTACTACC